CTGGCTGGCTGGCTGGCTGACTGACTGACTAGATGGATGAGATATGGTCCCCTCAGACAGGTAGACATGCTCCTTACCCCCAATTCTGGGAGCCCCCGTGCTGGAAGTTTTGCCTGTTCCTCAGGTTTACTTGTCTTTCAAGTTTTCACTCTGAGGTGAGTCTGAATGAGGGCCCAGGTCTTGGTCCTGGCTCCCATGATCTTGGAATGAGACAGCTTTACCTTAGAAGAGGGCAGGAGGCCCTGGCTGGGGAGGAGGCAGCAGGTCAGAGCCCAACCTCCAGCTGCTCTTCTTCCATCTTGAGCCCTGTCCAGATAGAACCTGTGTCCCAGGGGCACACAGGCCTCTAAGGTGCCACCTCACAGGAGACAGGAGGTCTAGCCCAGCCTCTTGCTCCCTCCCAGGCCTGGCAACAAGCTTCCATCTAAATTTAGCTCTTGGTCTCAGCTGAAGAGATTTACTGGACTACAGGTCTTGGGCCCAGCTGCCAGTGACAGGCAGGGACTGGGGTGGGGTGCGGGGGTGGACTCCTTCTGTGCTGCCCAAGGTCAGGGAAGGATCTGGGAGAGGGAGGTCCTTCCTAGGGCTTGCTGCTCTCATTTACTGGTTTCCAGGGAATGAACCAAGCTCCTGGAAGGTACTGGGGGTGGTTGCATAGAGGAAGAGCAGAGGAGAGGAGGGGAGAAAAGAAAAAAGGGAAGGAGGAGTGGGGAAGCAGAGTCTGCCCCTCAGTAACCAGGGAGAGCATGAGGATCAGAAGTCACACGAGGGAGTAGGCAGTTATTTTCCAGAGCATCTGGACCGGCTTCCTGGAAGTGGAGACTTTAGATGCTGTGTTTTAATTTACCTGATTAGAGGATGCTGAGTGATGACTGAAGACCCTAGAAGCATCCAGCAGCCTTTGCAGCTCTGGACCATTTCCCAGCAGGTCTAATTTCCATCCAGCCTTCTCCACCTTTCAATCCCAAGCCAGCCTCCCTGGCCCCTGAGGAAGCTCCCAGGCATGCCTCTTCCTGTCCTCTGTCTATCCCTGAGAGCCAGAGATGAGAGCAAGAACCCCTCTCGTCCTCTGTCCTTGCTTATCTGGCTGCTGAGCAGTGGCGTTTAGAGGGAGGGGCATTGGGGGGGAAATGAGTCCATGAGGCCTGAGAACGAGCCATTCTATCTAAAATCACCTCCCTACTTACCACTTTGTCTAATGTCCAGTTTGCCTAATAAGTCAGCTTCTTCTGATTTGTTCTGGCATCTGTTTGAATATTTTAAAAATAGCCTGACATCAAAATTACCTTTTCGTTAGAGGAAGATTTGTTTGGAACCCTGGCCTGACCCTCTACTAGCCCTGTGAACGTGGAGACAGGACCTTACTCAAACCTCCTCATCTGAAAAATGGGGCCAGGGATGATCTTCTCTCCTTGGGGTGTCGTGATGCTGCATAGAGAGAGGTGCTGGATGGCAGGGCCTGGAACTGTGGCAAGCAGCCGTGTGTCCTGGAGCTGACCAGCAAGATAAACAAGATAAGCAGACTGAATAATCTTCCTTCCCTCACCCCCGCAGATCGGGAATGACAGCTTAAAAATTAGAATTTTGAATAAAGTGACTTTAGCCAAACTGGCTGAGGGGTTTTAAATGTTTACAATTAGATAAAGTAGAAAATGACCACAAGTGGGTGCAGCATCATTTGTGAAGCTGCACATTTGAGACTTCCGAGGGATGCCGAATTAAGTAGGCGATGTCCTCAGACAAATTGTGTTTTTTCTTTTTCTAATACTTAAACGCCAACAAAATGGCCAAAACAGAGAGACCAAATTAGCTGATTAGGTTAGAAAGCACTCAAAAGGGAGCGGAATTTTGGGGGAAAGTCATTAGGTGAATTGGCTGCTGGCTGGTGGCCTGTGGGCCCCACTCTGCAGACCTGCAAGTGTGTTGGAGGGAGGGGTGGCTGCAGGGAGGGCTGGGCTCAGGGAGCCCGGGATCTCCTTGTCCCCTTCTCTCTTTGCTGAGCCTTTTCTGGGCAGATGGTCCCACTGGGAGCCAGGACCTGGGCAGGAGGCACAGACGTGCTGTCCTGACCCAGCAGCAGAGTCTCCCTGTTCAATAGAGAGGAGCTGGTGAAGGAAAGAAGGCTGGTGGCTTCCTGGGGTTTCTGCAGAGGGACACAAGTTGCTAGAAAGATTGGACCCCAAGGCATTGGATGTATCTGTCAAGTATTCCCTCTTTGAACTGCTCTGGACCAAGCATTTCAGGTTATAGAGTTATAATGGATTTTGGAACGTTTGCCTTGACTTTACTGGTTGGACATCTCTAACAAATTCTAAAATCCAAAAAGAAGTGTTGCTCAAAAGGTTTGGCTTGGGGCCATCTCACTTGTATGGCTCACCCTCTTGGAATTTCCATTTCCTGTCTGTCAATCACTTCCCCAGTAAATGGGTAAGGCCCTTAGTGTAACACCTGGCACACAGGACGACTGGCAGTGCCATCTCCTCTGCAGCTCACTAACGGCCTCAGAGGGGTCAAGGCTTGGTGGATTCCTCCGGGCTTTGGAAGAATGGAGTATGTCAGGGTGACCATTGGCTGGAACTCTTCCAAAGCCAAGCAGACCAGATTTGCCTTGGGTGCCCCCATCTCATCCCCTGCTGACCTAGCACCTGCCTGCGCCCCCTGCAGACTGTTACACTTTAGGGCACGTTTTCTTAGATCCAGTCTCCAGAGGTCGTGGACATATCTTGCTTCTTTGCCATTCATCCTGTCAGGTCTCCTTCTGGGCCACCAACTCTAGAAGGGAAGGGCCCGTGAGTGGGTTTCCATAACCTGAGTCCTCACCATGCACACGAAGTCCTTGTGAAATGTGGGGGAGGGCTGGAAGCCAGCTCCCCCCGACGGCCTTCCTCCCCACTGCTAGGTCATCCTCTCATGTTTTCATTTCCCAGGAAGCAGAAATCTCAGACTAGTTGGCTAAGGATGTAAGAAATAAATCCTATTACTGTGAAGGCCCAGGGTGAGCAAGGCTAGGCTTAGGGGCCAGAGAGTTCCTCTCCAGCTGGGAATGTGCTGAGTAACTTTGGGCAAAGGACTCATTTCTGTCTCCTCCGAGGATAGTCAGGAGAGGGCAGGAAGGGCTGGCCTGACTCCGAGGGGAGCAGGGCTCTGAGTGTGGCCTCAGAGGTTTCCAGTTCTGATGTCCCTGGAGCCCAGGGTCTCTCGCTCATGCTTTCTACCTTTTCTTTTCATGTTGGCCTCTGGAGAAGCATCTAGAAGCTCTCTTATCTAACCAGCTGGGGTTTGGGGCAGATGGGCAGAAGGAAACCCCCATCCTAGCCCCAAGGTCTTAAGGGAGGATCTTTGCTAGAATGTGTGTGTGTGTGTGTGTGTGTGTGTGTGTGTGTGTGTGTGTGTGTGAAGAGAGCTGGAAGCCCAGGATGCCTGGGGGTACAAGGTGGACAGGGAACCCACTCCACGGCACCACCACCACTCAAGCTGTCCGCAGTGCCATGCACAAGATCTAGCAGGTAGGACCATTTGCCCACTAGGTAATGGTTGCACTTCAGCACAGTACCAACCTCCCAGCCCTGCCAGGCCACCAGGACAGCAGTGTCCCTGGTGTCTTTTTGCCTGGCACAACACTACAACCAGTGTTTACTGAGTTTGGCTTGGATCATCCCAACTACTGTTCATGCCAGCCCTACTCAGGAAGCACCAGTATCACCCTCGTTTACTGGGGCCAGGTTTCCTCAGGGGCCAGGGAGGCTGACTTGGGATTGAAAGGTGGAGAAGGCTGGATGGAAATTAGACCTGCTGGGAAATGGTCCAGAGCTGCAAAGGCTGCTGGATGCTGCTAGGGTCTTCAGTCATCACTCAGCATCCTCTAATCAGGTAAATTAAAACACAGCATCTAAAGTCTCCACTTCCAGGAGGAGGAAACAGAGGCTTGGGAAGTCAGAGCAGTGGGTCCAGGTCATGTGTTGGGGACAAAGGAAGGATCTGAACAGGTTCTGTCAGCAAAGCTATCTTGCTAGTCAGGGAGTGCTCACTACCTGTCTGTTGAATGATTTTGAACAAATTAATCTTCCTTGTCTTAGGGACACTGAGGCCTAGGGCATGGACCTTGAGGCTGGCCTCCTGGCCTGGCTCTGTCCCCTGTATTTTTGTGGCCTCCTGGGCCCCATCTGCCTTATGGATCATCTTAATGGTGCAGCGCTTCTTCATAAGAAGTGTGGCCTATGATAAGTCATCTTCTCAGAGCCTCAGCCTTCCAGTCTCTAAAACAGGGAGAGGGTTGGGGGTAGATGATGGGAATCACCCCTCCTAGACTCTCTTCTACTTCATCAGCTCTTTTTCTAGCTCAATCCCTTTACTCAGTAATGTAGGGAGCCCCTGACTGTGGAGTGTGGAGGGGGAGTCCAGAGTCTTGGGGACCCCTCAGAGAAGTGGGTTCTCACCTGCTTATCTGCCCCCTGGCCATGTGGTACTGCCTGATAAGGGGGCTATATCACAGGAGGGGCAGAGACTCTGACGGTGGGGACAGAAGGCAGTTAGTTCTCTGGTGGTCTGCTGGGGTGGTCTGGTGGTCAGATCTGGGGTGGAGAAGGGAAACTTCAGGGGAGGTGAGGGGACTTGTGGGAGAGAAGAGAGATTTGGAAGTGGACAAAGAATTTCTGATTTTGAGAAAGGACAGGTTCTGGACACTAGAGCATCACCCCAGAACCCTAGGCTTATCTCCAAGGGTCTTCCTGTCCCCCTGCCAGATGGTGACAGATTTTCCCTGCTCCTCCACCTCCCCTTTCACTCAAGCTTGAGAGTTGTATCCCAGGATCAGCTTGTGGAGGGATCTAGCAGCAACACAACTGCCAGCCTGAGACCTCCCTTCCCCAGTCACTCAGGACAGACTCCCAGCTCCCCCTCCTCCCGGCACTCCCCCGTGCCCTGACCAGGCTCTCTGCACTTACTTGGAACAATGGGAGAAGACAAAGCAGATGCAGGAGAAGCTGTGGAACATGAAGGAGGCTTGAGTGCACCTGGGGGTTCCCCATGTTTCGGTTAGGGACAAGGGACCAGAGCCCATGCCCAAGGCAGCAGGCCCCGCCCCTGCCTGCTCCTTCCCCAGGCCTTTTCCTCCTCACTAGCTTGGGAGGGTGGGGAGGCTGAGGTGAGGCCCAGGGCTCTCAGGACAATCTCCACCGCCTCCGCCAGGGTGATGGTGACACGGCACCACAGCCCGCCCTTTCAGGTTATTTATAACCCATGCTGGGCAGCGGCTTCCAGCGTGGCAGCCAGAGGGTCAAACTGCCCTCCAACCTGCAGAGCAGGGGTTCTTTTTCATGGCTGCAGCTCCTGAGGAGAGGTGGGGGGGGTCCCTGCCTGAGGACAGAGTGGGTCTGCTCAGGTCCTTCCCTGTGCTACAGGCAGGCAGAATCCACTGACCCGAGGGGCTTTGCACAGGTGAATCTGGAGATGCCATCTGTATTAAGCAGCATTTGCAAGAGATCAGATTTAATGCAGGATACAGAAATTTATAAGACTAGATTACAATATTTGCCTCTGCAGTCAAATGTAGAAGAGTTCAAGTGATCTGCTCATGTGCGAGAGATCCAAATAATCCAGCTGAAGGCCTGGATCCCTCAGCAATGGCCCCCGAAAGTCCACATCAGGAGGCCGGAGGAGGAGGAATTCAACAGGGAAGACTGAAGGATCTGTGCCTGGAGGCTACGGAGCGGAGCGCAAGGCAGGCTGAAAGACCAGCCCTGAGAAACCAGCATAAAACTCTCTCCTCTTCTCCTATTGTTCTGACAAGAGTCCTCCTTAAGTGCACCTTCCAGCTCAGGAACAGCTAACTCCATGCAGCTGGGCATTCCCACTGAAGACGGCCATTAATCAATCAGCCACTACACCCACATGTCACATCAATGCCACTCTTCCTGATTTTGGCAACTTCATGGTGGGTGGGTAAGAGTGTCCCTGTTTTTAGAAAATACACATTTAGGGTTAAAGAGCCACTGTGTTTCTAACTTATTTTCCAGTAGTTGGAAAATACACACAGAGAGACAGATACATAGACAAGACAAAAAATTCAGTGGTGCTAAATCGTTGGTCAGCGTGGGCAAATGGTATATGGATGTGATTTGGATCATGCTCCAATTTTTCTGAACCTATTTGTGTGTCTCATATGGTAATAAAATGTTGAAAACCAAATAAATACAAAGAAAGCAAGGAAGTGACAGGAAATGCAGCCATGCCTGGATTCACCCAGTGACTTTAGTTCCACAGGTTGGGGCAGGGGCGGGCCCAGGGCTGGGGAGTTGTGAGCAGACCTGCACAGGGGTGGGGATGGGGTGGGGGTGGGGAGTTGTCTCCAGAGCCCCAAAGCAGACCCAATCCTGAAGTGAGGGCTGGTAGGGGTTTAAAAGCTTAAGCAGCAGCTGGGTTGTTAGGATCTGAGAGAAAAGCATGTGAAGAATGTGATTAAGTGGAGAGGGGCTTTGTCTGGGAGGTGCAGGCAGGGGGTGAGAGGCCCCTTAGAACACAGCAGAGTGCAAGAAACTCAGACACACAGGGGTCCCTTGGCTCCCTGCTCCTGTTTTCTGTCTTCCAGGCCCTCCTCCTTTCCTGACTCTTCTAGCTCCCCGCTTCTCTCCTCTGGAGTCTCACAGGCCCAAGTCCGAAACTGTCTGCTTCTCACCAGGGTGGCCTGAACTCTGACTGCCCCATGGCTGAGCATGGACCCACTGCAGCCTTCCCTTTCTCTTCTCATCCCCTTCCCTCCTTGCTGGCACAGAGCTTACCCAAGTGGTGTAGGGGAGCCCTTGGGGACAAAGCTGGGGAAAGGCTGGCCGGATCTCCCTGTTCATTTGGAAATGATGGGGTGGAAAGTGCACCCCAAGTCCTGGGCTAGGAAAAGACTTTGCTGGTCCTACCAGTTGGGCCCTGTCAGTGAGCTTTTAGGGAACGGCAGGGATGGGAATCCAGAAGTGTAGGTAACTATTATGGGAGGCGAGACATAGTGTGGGTTCTGGGCAGCCCAGCCTATGAGGCAGGTGACTTCATGGAGCACCATGAAGGGCTTAGACTGATGGGGCAGAGGGTTCATTTACCCCAGCCAGAGGAGTCAGTGGGCAGTGGCCAGAAGCAGGACAGTTACAGATGGCTTGGCTTGGACTTGGCTGGGATAGAGACTTTGGGCCCCAGCTGGAAGGAGGTGTGGTTCTCTATAGCTGTAGGAGGATCCGATGTGCACTGCTGGCTTAACAAGGAACTTTGTCTCTCAGTGTTCTGGAGATGGGAACCCACCAGCAGGCTCCCATGTAGTTGTGCTGATGAAGGTGCTTTTGGTTGGTGGATGGCGGCTGTGTCCTCACATGGCAGAAAGAGAGGGTCCTGGTCTCTTCGCAACTGGGGCTCTAACTCCCAAGACCTCAGCCAAGGCTAGACATCTCTCAAGGCCCCACTGCCACATACCTTCTCACTGGAGCTTAGGGCTTCACATATGAATTTCAGGAGGACATAGGCCATTCCTTCTCAGCAGTGTCTTATCCCTGTCTTTCTTCATGTTCTCAAATAGAACCCTTCCCCCTGCTTGGAAGCATCTTCAGAGAATCACCTTCCAGAAACTAGAATTTCCATCTTCCCAGTGGCAATCCCAAAGTACCCAGCGATTCTTCTCCTCTCAGATCTCTGAAGGTGTCCCACTGATGGGTGCTCCCGTATCTGAAGGTGGGACAGCCTAGGTGTAATTGAGACTCAGCTCCCTGGGGGAGCAGTAAAGCCAGACTTTGCCTGGATCTTTCTCTCCTCTGTCCTGCTTTGCCTGGCTCTTTGGAGATGCTCCTGCACCACATTCCAGAGGAATCCTCATCTCACCTCTGAGGACTCCATCCTGGGGAGCTCAGACAGGCTTGGAGTGTCTGATCTGCCCCTCTAAATAGAATGTGTTAATAAAAAAAAAGAAAAGTAGCAGTGAAAAAGCAAACACCCTGGAGTCTTTGAGTTTGCTCGGGACAGCCTCTCTACCTTCCCAGCTTGCTTAGTGAAACCAAGCACTGGAAAGAGGTAAGCTGAGCTTGGCACTCCAAGATGGAGAAGAGGTAGAGGGGCTGGTCTGGCTTTAGAAATGAGGACACAGAGGCTTTAAGTGTCATTCAGGGGCAAGGAGGGCTGGGTGGGAGAGCTTCCCTGTGGCACCAGACAGTTGATAAATGTAAGCAGTGAGGCTGAGCTTACCTTGCTACCCTTGATCTTCTCAAAAGGCCCTCATCAGCAAGGTTCTGGGTTTGAGGAACAGCTAAACCCATAGGTTAAAGGCTTGGTCCCCAGGTGATGGTGCTTTTGAGAGGAGTGGGACCTTTAAGAGGTAGGTGTGGCTGGAGGAAGTGAGATCACCGCGGGTGTGCTCTGAAGGGAGATAATGGATCCCAGGTCTTTTCTCTTGGCTTCCTGGCTACCATGCTGTGAGCAGCTGTACTCTCCCAAGCGCTTCTTGCCATGACGTTGTGCCTCCTCACAGGTCCTGTGGAGAGGGCCAAATGACCAGGGATGAAACCTTTCAAAGCAGGAGCCAAAATAAATGTCCCTTCATTGGGTTGTTTATCTCAGGGATTTTGTCTCCCTGATGGTGAGCTGGCTGACACAGACCTGAAGCCTCTCCTGCTTCTACCTCCGTAACAGAGCTTTCCAACAAATCTTCCCTTCTGGAGGGGCTAGTGTGCAGTATGTTTCTGTTGCTCATTACCAAGGAATTCTGACTGACATAGCAATGATCAGCAAGTGTGCAGTAGCAGAATTCAAAGGAAAAGAAGGTCAGAAGAGACCCCCTCCCCATGTTTAGGAGCCAGTACTATTGGGGAGAGCCCAGATGTTGTAAATACAGTGGAAGAAGGTGGTTGGATTCCTGTCTGTGGCTATGAAAGGACAGGGTGACTTTGAAGAGCCAGAGGATGAGAGGACTTTTGGGTTGCATGTGTCTCCAGCAGGGGAGGGGTCTGGGAAAGTTCTAGTATGTAGGCTGGAGCAGCAGGGTGGTCTGGGATTGAAGGTGGTGTCTAGAGCTTAGAAGGCAGACAGGGCTGGTACAGCAGCTCAGGCAAGAGATGAGATGGTTCTCTCATTGCACAGAAGAGTCTTGGGAAGGGCAGGGCCTGCATAAGCCAGGATCTCTGCCCTGTAGAGACCCCGCAGACCCCATGTCTGATCTGGGTCTGAGACCACAACTCAGGTGCCCAAATCCTGCAGCTGAAGCCACTCTCCCCCACCCCCAACCTCTGGCCAGGTGACGTCCCCAGGTATATGAAGCCATCTCCTTATTTTAGCTGTGGTCACACCAATTTAACCTGTGCCTGAAAAATTTGCTTTTGCCATTGCAATTTTAGAAGACAGTTCCACAGCATTGTGGAAAGAAGGGACATTGATTTTACTCATTTTTATTTCCCACAACTTCTGTGGAATATTACTTTGATCTGTGCCTCTCTCTTTGTTTTGCCTTCCCAGCTCCTGATGCAGAGAGGCTAGGTCCAGCCATGACTTACGTGGGAGTGCCTTTAAAGAAAAATAAGTCATCATATTTGATTAATAGGGCTTAAGTCAGGGCTGGCAGAGCTTTACCTGCTCACACAGGACTGGGGGGCTGCATGCCTCAGAACAGCTGTGGGGTTTGTGCTTTCCGGAATAGCTCAGGCTCCAGTGCCGAGTAGCTTTGGGCCTGGGTCCAGTTGTCGTGTCTGTGGTTTCACAGCTGTCCCCCTGTCCTATGTGCAGGCTCCTCCAAGGAGCAGGTGCCTTGGGCTGGGCTGGGCAGAGGCTCATGGAGGGGATCCCAAGGGTGGTTCAGGACAGGCCACTGCTGGCCCTGGGGAGAGGGTCTGACCTAGAAGGCCAGCAACTCTCCTCATTCAGCGGTCCTGGGAGCCCTATGATGCACAACTTAGTGCCTTTCTCTCTCCCCTTCTGTTGTCTGCCTGCAAAATCATATGAGAGCACCTCCCATGGAGGGCCACCACAGGGATGGAACAAGGACTTACAGGGACAGCCACTGCCAAGAAATGTGGTGGAGCATCTCTTTTGTTGCAGCCGCATGTCCTTTAACAATGGGGACAGGTTCTGAGGATGCGTCATGAGGTGAGATGATTGTGTGACTGTCACAGTGTCCTTATATGAACCACCAC